CGTCAGAGACAGTCATTTTTATACCCATTTTTAAATTTACAATCAGTGAATAACTTTCTGTCAAGTTTTTAATTATGATGAGCAGTAAATCGTTTTTACATTTCCCAGGAACTTTTATACGATGTAATATAAATACTCTCTTCTTTCAGACCCCTATTCAACTCTCCTGTTGGTGATTTGTCGAATAATTACGATGAAAATTTGTAGGTCGTGGAAATTGCTCCTGCACCGCTCCTAGATGTTAAAGTAAGAAATAAGATGACCGACTATGCCGTAAAACTGGCGAAACACGTTGGTTATTCGAACGCAGGTACTGTCGAATTTTTGGCCGACGAGTCCGGAAACTTCTACTTCATTGAAGTTAACGCCAGGCTTCAAGTTGAGCACACAGTGACGGAAGAAATTACCGGGTAAGAAAATATTCTCATTCTGAAAATTGATTTCGTGTGAAGGCAAACGGATTACACACATGTATAAATAGATATTAATAACTTAACTGCTTTAAAACTAAATATTTTTTTTATTACATACAAATTTATTTGTAATTGAGCAAACACAAGTATTATTCGTGTATGATAATTTAAAGTACTTTAGAACTTTTAATATTTTTATTGTTAATTGTTATTATATTTAATTTCATAATAGAATGATATGATTGTGATAATTTTGAATGTTTATTATAGTTAATATAATAGAACGAAAGAATAAGTATTATTACTTTTCTGAGGTCAGCTTTATTGCGCCAATCCTTTGTAATGTAAATTGTACGATACAAGTCAACAAACACCTCTTACTCTCTATTTGAATCAGTCAGTTGAAATTAAATTGGCGAGATTACCAATTATTACTATTAACTCTTAACTGCCGAGCTGGAGTCTCAAACACTTCATGGATTCTCTTCGTTAAGAGATAATGGTATTATGTTTGATATAAATAAAATTGTAGTGCTGTCATTTACTTTGATACATATAGAAAATTGTTAGAATTTTAATACGAAACAGAAAAACATTGGAATACGTTGAAATTTGTTTTCGTGGTTCAGAATTGAATGTCATCTTTGAATGTTTATACAGAATGCTTCCTGAATCATGGAATAATCAAGATGGAAGTAAATCCACATGAAAAAATCAGTCAGAAACATAGAATAAAATTTTTCTCATACAAAACTTTATATCCAAGATAATCAATTTCAAATGTGTTTATCACACATACATTTATAATTACAGGAAGAGAAAATCTTAAATTATAAACACACTTATTAGCTAATTTTTATTCAATAACATGCTCACTCGATAAATCTTGGAGCACAATTATCTCAAAAACCAAGTATCATATGAAGAAATGTTATTTTATATTTTTTCTTATTTTTTTATATATAAAATCACATTGAATATTCAATTTTATAAAAACACCCTGTATATTCAATTCTACTAACCTTTCATAGTCCCATAGACGAGAATAAAAACACTAATCAAATATACATACTACAAAGAGCAACTTGAAACAAAATTAAAAAATCAGATTTTGTTCAGAACAATATTTAATTGTGTTAATATTACATAAACTCAAGTTGTAAATATTTACATAGATTTGGTTTATTCAAAAACTGTATAAATTATTTACAGTAATTTAGACTACAAAAGGTTAAATTCAAGGTATATCATGATAATTGTTATCGGACACCTTAGTATTTTTTTTAATTAATTCAAAATAACTTTTTCAGAATCGATTTGGTACAGTCTCAGATTCGTATTGCCGAGGGTATCACGTTACCTGAGCTAGGAATGACGCAGGAGAAAATCCATCCTCAAGGTTCCGCTATACAGTGTCGTGTAACCACAGAAGATCCTGCGAAGAACTTCCAGCCGGATACTGGAAGAATCGAAGTGTTCCGTTCCGGTGAAGGTATGGGTATCCGATTGGACGGTGCGTCTGCATTTGGTGGAGCGATTATTTCACCTTACTATGATTCCCTTCTTGTCAAGGTACAGTAAATTATAATAAAATGTTAATTTTTAACATTTAACTTTAACGTTATTTTTAAGTTTAAATGTCTACAAATGATTATTTCGAATTTAAATTAAAATGGTTATTGTTTTTATTAATTTCATAGTTTATAAACAACTATTGTAGATTTTATACATTAAGCACAAGTCCAAAAATGAATTTCCTTTGTCCACTTCAAATCTTCAGAAATTTAATTATAACAAACAGACTCAAACTTCCAACTTTGAAAATTGTCTATCTATTATTTATAAATGTTCATTACTACAGAAAAATATTGTACACAAACTGTATGAAATAGAATGATAGATATAAAGTTCATTTAACCCCGTGTCCTATAACATCGTGTCACACTTGCGTTGAAGATTTCAAATGGAATACAACAAACAGTGAGCTCAATTGACCACACAATCACCTCATGCATTAAATACCAAAGAGAATGAAGAAAACTAAGGAATACACAATACAATAATATACATAGATAATCATCTGCATTATTTAAAGTAGTTGCCAATGACCTGGCAACGAATGGCCAATGAATGAGGTTGACGCAACTTAAAATATACAATGAAAAAAATAAATACATCTCAATTCTTTTAAATTCAAATTAAATATTATTTTCCTGTTATCAACTATTACACTTCACAGCAAACAAACACGTAGGATATGCCTAGAATTCCACTCTTCTGTTCAATAAATCAATAAATCAATAATAATAAAGTACTTAATTGTATCGATCACAGTTGACAAAGAAATCATAGGACAAGGGGTTAACACAAAAATGATTTATATTTTCATTCCAACATTTTCATTTTATTACAGGTGATAGCCCACGCAGGTGACTTGCAGTCATCCTGCGCGAAAATGAATCGCGCTCTTCGCGAGTTCCGTGTTCGCGGTGTCAAAACGAATATTCCATTCCTGTTGAACGTGTTGGAGAACCAGAAGTTCCTCAACGGAAAGGTGGACACGTATTTCATCGACGAAAATCCGCAGCTGTTCCAATTCCAGCCGAGTCGGAATCGTGCGCAAAAGTTGCTAAACTATCTGGGCTCTGTCCTCGTAAACGGTCCTAGCACTCCTTTGGCGACCGATTTGAAACCGGCGGAAATAAAACCGCACATTCCCCAGATTGCTCTAGGTACAGTATCAATGCTTCAGCTGGTAGCAATTTTTACCGGATTACACTTATCCGCGACTGCGAAGCCTAGTAGCGAATCTCGTTACTTCGATTTCACGATCAACATGATTGGGTACGGTTGAAAGTTTCGGAACGCATGCTTTTCATGCGAGGGTCAGCGAATCAATGGATCAGATTATTTTCTCTTATTTGTTCTGTACATAGGGTGTCTATACTCATTGATGATTATGTAGGCTGATTTCTGGAGGATTTTGATGCTCATTAACTTGTTAACGATAATTATTTACAACACTGATTCCTTAATTTAGATGTCTTTGAAATATGTTGTGGAGGACTGATTCTGAACTTTTTTCTACGTATGTTACCGCTGTTCGGCCTTGTTTTTCTAAATATTTGTAAAAATATGTCCAAAAGTAGGGAGCTTTTGTACTCATTTACGAAAAGGATGAACCTCGTATGATCTTGATCTTACCATATATTATTAAGGTCATTGTTATGTACACCCAGAACTTTTGACAGTGAGTATTAATTCAAAAGTTATGAAGCAAACGTGCATAGAAAAAATTTGTTTAGAATGATGATTTTGACAACATATTTCAAGGTCAATCAAATCGGCGAGGAATCAGAGTTGTAAATAATTACGCTGTTAACTGTGGAATTTAGTTTGAAAAATCTCTTGTTTTGCGAGAGATAAATAAAATGAAAGAAATGAAGTGTATACTCGTCAAACGCAGGACAAATGCATCTAAGATATATTTTAATGAAAAACCAAAGTGAAACAAAGAATTACACGTTTATTTGAAAAAATAAAGAATTCATCGTTGAAAGGATTAGTATCATTCCAAGCTTAAAGAAGACGTGTATACTCGTCAAACGCAGTTAACTAGTTAACACGTTCACGCCGGTATATACCATTTGTGGTACACGGCTGATTTATAACATTAAAATAAATCAATGTTAGTAAATAAGTTATATATCAAATTATTTATTTACGTTTACCTACAATTAGCAATTAAAGCCAGATAACTGGAGATATAACAAAAGAACGTATTTCAACATTAGCTTTACAAATTTTATTATTGTGATGTATGATTAAACATATAGAAACATGTCCCAGCGTGAATGTGTTATACATTGACAATTAGAGATCTGGAATACGAAATACGCTTTTGTTAATGAATCACACTTCAAGTTGCGGTGAACCTCTTTCTTTATAATAACAAGTAAGACTCTGGATCAGAGCAAAACACTGTTTTACTATTTTCAATATTTTACCTTCGAAGTTAATGTGTATTTATAGTAAATGAAACACTTCTTTGCATTTCTTGCAGATTATTGACAATAGAATTGATCGATAATAAAATTGGTCGAGTTATATTGCGAAGGAAATCGTATGGCAAGGGGTTACACGTAGTAACAATTACGTGAATATTCTGTAGATTTAAATGAATCCTATATTTGTTTGAAAGCGGTTTGTGTTTCAGTGTCCAAATATTGTAATGTGGCTAACATTTTTCTTTATTATATATTTTCTTTTTCTTCAGTTTAGATGTTCAGTTAGAAAAAAATAAAAATATTACTATCAGATATTGTTATTAACAGGATAAGGAGTCGCACAATAGAAAACTTGAATCTCGGTTTTATGATCGCTTAGAAACTGCAGCTTTTGAATACTTATATAGATTATAATACGATTTACGATTTTATTTTGATATAATTTTATTAATCTTTTGATTTTAATTTCGTACGTCGTATATTTAACGTGAAATCACTATAGAAAGTTTTCTGTTCAGGGGATACATTAAATTAGTGTTGAAGTGAAGTGTTTACTTATTTAGACATTTAAACAGATCAGTACACTGTGATGTAATGAATAGACGTATAAAATGTCTAGATATAACTGTGTTCCAAGTTTATTATATGCTGGTCACTCGGTTTGTCTTACTTTATTTCACTGTTGAGTCAGAGGAACGAAATTTACAATGGAAATACGTCACTTATTCTAATAAATGTCTAGGTGAAAAGAAGATAATCAGTTTTGGTTTAGAAAGTTAAATATTGTTTATGAGACTTACGAGTGACTGAAATAATTGAAAAAATAAACATTTTCTATCATATTTGGTTACTTTCTTATTCGTTTATTAGTTTCTGCTTTACCAACGGGGATAACAAAGGATAAAGGATGTAAAATTAAAAGCGTAATAATAAAAGAAAATAAATTTTCCTCATAAAAGAAAAATACAATAATTTTTAAATGTCTCGTAAAATCTTTCGACTTATGGTGTAATTCATTTAACAAAGCGTATTAACTTTTCAAATCCTTTTCTTGTAAGCAGTCATATATTTTTAGAACCTGATTGTCCTTTACAGGAAGCAGCAGTCCCTGATATGATCTTTTACAATCTCCGCATAACATTCGAATACAAAAATTCTTTTTTCAATAAGTATTTGAAAATACAGAAAATAGAAGTATCAAAAAAGACTAAAAAGTGATAGTTAAATCTCTATGAAATATGAAAAATTAATTAATATTCTAGTTGCAAAAATAAATTCAACACTATTTATTGAATTTACTTTATTCGATTTCATTAATATTTGAACTGATTAAAATTATATAAGAATAAGAATATGAAAAGCAAGTAATAGTCGTGTATAAAAGTTTTAAGAGAAATATTATTTACATTAGTTATTATTATAAACGTTTATTCAATCAATTCTATCTTGATACGATTTTTAAAATTATTATTAAATTAGAAATGTATGGTTTTTAATTAGTATTAGATTCTATAGTTTTAGAATCATAGTAAGATAAGCTAACACTAGACATTACAACAGTATAAAACTAGATATTATTATCCCAATTCTACACTACACTTTTAGTTTTATTTTCATTCATTAGTTTATTCTAATATTCACTATGTTTCTAAAACTTAATAATTTTTGCAACAAATCAGAAATTCTTATGAGAAAAAAGTATTTACTAATATTACAAAATGAAATAGGAGTGGACACCCTGCTAGCTTATAGTTAGAATTTAGTAAAATAATATTTCATGCTTTCGTGCTGGGTACACAGACAATTGTAATGGGTCATCACTATTCAACATTTTATGTTGCATTTTATTTCTACACCTATAATTGAACACAGTGCATCACGTGCACACATTCCACATTCTCTATATAAACACGAAACGTTCATTCTCTATTACAATCTGGCATGGTATTTCACGTTTTTTCTATGTATTGTAACTTTATGTTTTCACCGATGGGTAAGATCCGACTGAACGTTTGGTATTTCAAATTTTCTTCCTGTGTTCGTTAATTTTCGTAACAGTTTACCCAACTAGAAAATTCTAGTTTAGAGTGTTATCTTTCCAGCACTATTTTTTCTGTTGTTAAATAACTCTTCACGTTCTTTTAGATATTAATGACCTTTAGTTATTATACCTCATTGTTGACCGCATGCTTTTATCTTTTCGTTTGGCCATTTTTTTAGACTTTGCTAAGCTTGCAGCTGCTGAAGAGAACGGTGATGCAGATTTACCAGGTATGCTTACTATGTATTATCTTTTCCTTTTATTTTATTTTGGTTTAAGACACAGAAACTACTGTTGTGGTTAGGGAATTGATTTATTTATCTAAAATACAGCAGGAAAGGGTGCAGTTCGTCGACTTTTTATTTTTATTTGCTTTCAGGAGAGTTTGGTCATTTTTATTTGATTTTCTTCCAGCCTAGAAATTTGTGTTCAATAATTTAATTGGAATAATTGACTTCAAAGTATTTCTTAGTATTTATTTTTCTCCGATAAACGATCTTCATTGTGATTGCAAATTGCAACGCATTACCAATACTTTTATTAGTTATATTAAATTATATTCAATTATATTCAATTCATATTTTGAATAATACTAGTACATAAAAATTTCATTTGTTTTTTTTCGCGTTAAATATAAAAGTGCATATATTTATGCGATAATAAAAGTGTTAAGTATAAAAGCTTAATCAAAATTTTCTTTTGAGAATGAACACGAGAAACAAAAAAATAAAATTTTACTATACTTTTTCAATATGATCACACGATTTATTTTAAATGTCATAATTATTAAAGAAAATGAATACAATATTAAGTTTGTTTCGTTCGCAAGTCACTCGTTCCTGTTTTATCGATAGAAGCAAAGGAAGGTAACAATTTTGTTACAGCCGAATTTACAAAATTTGGTTAGAATGACTAAACACTGTGTTTACAGATTTTGATTTATGTGTGAATTTGATTAAGTCCATTTTTGAGAATGTACAGAAAAATTTATCATCGTAATTGCATATATGTTTTTTGAGGCATGCATAATGGAATGGTAAAAAAGTAATTTATGAACAATTTAACTTGTTGAATTGAATATGAAATCGAAAAATCTTTTACTTGATTTAGAAAATTAAAGCTAATTTCAAACTTTTCAAATCGAATTTTATTTGTAATGTTGCTATTTTCAAGTGTTTACAGCATTGTGTTCTTGAAATTACTTTGAATTTTAATATTCTCACTGAAAATATGTCAATAATTTTGTTTAATACATAGAAAGATATTTATAGCAATTTTTATAGGTACACATTTTTTGTTTAATACGACAAATTTAATTATAATATAGTAAATAGTAAGGATTAACGTAATCTTAAGTATAATAATATTATTAACAATATCATTTAACGTACTGTATACTATTCTAAAAAATCACATTGACTTTTCAATTAAAGGCATTTTTTATTTTCACTGAACAACTGACTTTTTTAAATAAAATGAATCAGGTGTACTGTGTTAAATGTGGAATGTCTGTTTGTACATATTACAGAATATTTTTCAATCATTTGCATAATATTACTTTCACATTTTATTAATGTGCTTGTAATTAATTATCATTGTATATACAAAAGAGTTTTTTGGTTTAGTAACTATTATAATAGTCTAGATGCTGTAACTAAACATATGTCAAAGTATAAGATTATTTAATTTACATTTTGCACGCAGAAACGAACACAAACATTGATACAACATGCACAGATACTTTTACATTCATACTTCATCGGGCTATAGAGTTCTCAAATTGTTGGGAACAAAGCTCAAGCTCTTTTTAACAAAAATTCGGGGATATCATTCATACAATTCGCTCAGAATAATATAAATACAAACTGCGAATTGGGAAGCAAAAAAATGAACATTCATCAAATCAACAGTTGAATTCTTTTATACATTAAACTGGATACAATAAATAAAAAACGAGATAACAAAGTCTCGTAGCTTTAAATATACAAATATTTTCACCTTTACTGTGTTTTAAACTTCTTATTAATTTAATTTAGACATAGAAATTAATTAGAAGCAAAGATTTTGTGATGGTAGGTAATACAACCCGACAGAAACGCTTCAATCATAATCCCTACTCTTGGTTGTAGGTGCTTATTAACAATCAAATTATCTATAAATAACAAAAGAAATCATTTCAAAGTAACTTCAGGATGCTTTCATTTCTCGATTAATCTCTCTTGTCTAAAGTAATTTCAGCTTACTAACAACTGCACGTAGAAGCTTATACCGACTTCCAAAGATACGCGTTATTCAACAAGTTTCTACTAATTTTTCAGATGTTAAAGAACCACCGAAAGGTTTCCGTCAAATCTACAAGGAAAAGGGGCCGGAAGCGTTCGCGAAGGCCATCAGGCAACACAAAGGATTGCTGTTGATGGACACCACTTTCCGTGACGCTCATCAGTCCCTGCTAGCTACTCGCGTGAGATCGCACGATCTTCTAATGATTTCGCCTTTCGTCGCTCAGAAATTTAACACTCTTTATTCCTTGGAAAATTGGGGTGGCGCTACCTTTGATGTCGCTCTTAGGTTCCTCCACGAGTGTCCATGGGAGCGGTTGGAAGATATGAGGAAAGCCATACCGAACATCCCCTTCCAAATGCTTCTCAGAGGTGCTAATGCTGTAGGTTACACTAACTATCCTGACAATGTTGTCTATAAATTCTGCGAACTGGCTGTACAGACTGGAATGGACGTCTTCAGAGTATTCGATTCGCTGAACTATCTACCGAACTTGCTTATCGGTGAGTAACTTGGATATTCGAGATTCTAGAAATGAACTTTCTTCTAAATTGCATTGGTCTGCTAGCTTACAAGGAAGGTATCGAACCCGGAAATTCAAAAACTTATGAAACTTTGTGTCTAAGTAGAGTAAGTCAAGTCTAATATATTGCAATTGAAAGGGCGAAGCCACCCCTTGAAGAAAATGCAAATTTTTCTTTCTCGTGGATTATTTTGAGAACGATACGAGATAGCGAAAAACAATTTAAACAAGAAATATATTGCTCTTTCGTGTCTATAAAATTGCAAAATAAAATTTTTCTAAAAGGTATGGTGGCGAGGGAATTTTGAAAAATTTGAACATTTGGAAAATGTTATTTTGCAATTTTATAGACATGAAAGAATAGTGTATCTTTCGTTTGAACTTTTTTCATTATCTCTTCCCATTCTCAAGGTAATCCATCGGAAAGAATAATTCGCATTTTCATCAAGGAATGGTTTCACTTCTTCAAAGTGAAATTTGGCACGAAAAAATGTATTAAGCTTGAGTCATTATACTTACACACAAAGTTTTATAATTTTTTGAATTTACGGGTTCGATGCCTTTCCTTGTTAGTCTTATTTTTTTCATGAAAATACGTTGAACACGATATCTCAGAGAATAGTTGATGAAAAACAGTACGTATTGTATTTTGTATGAAAAATATATAATATCCATGTAAGTTCTAGGAGGTACTACGAATAAAG